ATTGTAATTGTCAAAATTTTCAATTGAATTGATTGAAAACCTTTGGAGCAATTTTCTTGCGTTCATCTTCTTCGTTGAGACTGTGTGTTCTTGGTGTGTTTAGAAATTCTAATCACTTACTCACTATGTTTTGCTCTTATTAATATTTCCGCTGCACTTCTATTGTTTTAGAGCTTATTTAGAGTATTAAATCAATACCAAAGTTGAATTCAGATCCAACAATTGGTATCAGAGCAGGTTTTGAATTCTAATTCAATTAATTCTGCTTTTGGTATTAATCTGTGATTCCTAGAACACCAATTTCTTCACATTACCCTGTTTCACTCACTATTGAATCAGTTTCATCTTGTTCTTATTTTTTCTTCAAATTTCAATGGCGAACATGGGTAATACCTTGTTCATGAGTACTGGATCTCAATCCAAGCCTCCCACGCTTATCCGAGAGGAATACCCACAATGGAAAGTGCGCATGATCAACTTCATGGAGGGAATTCACCCCAGAATTTGTGAATTTCTCTACATTCCACCATACGTGCCAATGAATTTGATTCCACGAGTTCCAGCAACTGGTACAACCCCCGAAGTTCCTGAGCAGTATGAGCCAAAACCAATTGCAAACTGGAGCGATGAAGATAAGGTATTGGTTGAATTGGGAAGCAAATGTAAAAGGCTGTTAATCATGGCTATACCTCATGAGATTTTCAAATGTATTGATCACTGCCATCTGTCTATGGACATTTGGGCATAATTGGAGAAACAAATCGAAGGAGGGAAGAAGACTCTCAAGAACAACCGAGCCACTTGTATTGATGAATATCATAGCTTCAAGGCTAGGGAGGGTGAATCCATGTCAGACACATACTCCAGGTTCAATACCTTAATCAGCAATTGCAAGAGATATGGAGTGATGAGAACTACAGAGGACAACAACTCTATGTTCTTGAAAAGTCTTGGAAACGAATGGATGCATTTGACCATGTCAATGAAGGCCACTTTTGTGACAACAGTCAAATTCGGAATCCCAGGTTAGCTTTTATTAAGATTATATTAGTGTTATTGAAGTTAATTTATAGATTAGGAGTTAGTTAGGTTAGTTTAGTTGAAAATTTTTAAGAATTTCCGGCAGTTGCTTAGAAAGTCCGGTTCCGACCCGAAATTATCTGAAACGTACTATGCAATACCAAATGCTCTAATTTATACCCAATATATATAAAACACTAAGTTTTAGTGTTTTAGATATAAAACCTTTCTATTTAAATAAATTTAGTCATCGTGGGCTTTTAAAATGAAGAAAAATGTCAAAATTGAAAAATTGGGCTTTTGTGCATTATGGACTTAGTTTAAAAAAAAAATATATGTGAGGATTGGGTTGGGCCCTCCCATGGCCGGCCATCCTCCCCCCATTTCCCTCCCTAAACCCACATATAAATACCTTCATTTTCCCTTTAATCCTCATAATTTCTCATTCCAATTCCAAAAACCCTCTCTTTTCTCTCCATAGAAAACTCAAGAGTCATCTTCATCCCTTTCAAACACATTCAGCCGATTTTCTCATCTAACTTCATCATTTTGGCAAGATTTTGAAGATACAACATTTATCTCATCATCAAACAAGGTAATGCATTCATCTTTTCCTCTTTTCTTGTATGTTTTTGGGAGAAAAACCCACTTTATTGCATTCATTATCATCTTTTCTATATGTTTCGAAAATTTTGAGTTTCAAGGTGAGATTACACACCAAAAACATGTAAAAATATTTGTTTGATGGTGGTAATCCATGACCCAAACATTAGAACTCAAAATGATAGATAGAATCATGATTTTATGTGGTTTATTTCTTAAAAACTTCATATTCTGTTGCTGACGGATTTTGTGCTTGTGCACAAATCGTTCATATGTTATAAATGGCTTGTTCAAATGTCATGAGGTTTCTTTTAAAAGTTTATTTACTGAGTTGGGGTTGCAATGCATTTGGTTTCACTCAAAAACATTGAGTTTTGACCCCCCAAATACTCAAAACATTGTATATATGTATCTGAGAGTTCTTCAGTAGGTAAACCCTAATTTGAATAGTCATAACTCTCTAGATAATCGTCCAAAATTGTTGATTTTTCTTCTGGATGTTAGTTTAATGAGTTACCTTTCCAATGCCACCGATTTCACTCAATATTGTGGTGATTTGAGGTTTTAATAACTAAAAATAAGAAGAACATGCAATCTGTCCGATTCTGACAGATTTGTATATGTGTGTTCCATCGACCATATCTCTCTCTAAACTCGATAAAAAAGGATTATTCTTCTTTTGAGAGTTATATTTATGGGTTATCTCCTACATTCAAGTGGAATCACATAACATTATGGAGTTTTGATCTCCAAGAACCTAAAACTCTATAGGTGTGCAAACTGTAAAACCACCAGTAGGTAACTCTTATTTTGAATGTTAATATCTTTCTATTTACTTGTCCTCAATGTATGATTCTTCTTCTAAAACATTCTTTTATGAGTTAGGATTCATTTGAATCTAGTTTCACTCAAAAATATGATGTTTTAAGGCATGAACCTATTTATTTAAGTCAAGTGTGCAATCTGTCAACTAATGACAGATGTGTGCATGTGACTTTAAGGTGTTATATCTTCCTCTCAACTCATTCAAAATGAGTGATTCTTAGTTTAAAAGTTTCGTATATGTGTTAGGTTTCCAATACAACTTGAATATTTGCAGAACATCAAGTAGAACTCTTTTTATGAGTGTTTTACTAACATGGTGCAATCTGCCATTTCAGTTGTGATAAGTTGCATTGCATGAATTATTTGAAGCATCATCTCTTACCTAATCTACATGAAATTTGGTCACGATTACTATAACTCAGTTCTATAAATGATATAAAAATATTGGAATTTATCTCATTTTTTAAATCACTTTATTTGATCATTTTATATAACTTAAGTTTCTGTCCAGAATCAAGAATTCTGGATTTGGTTAAAATTGTAAAAGTTGATCTTTTATTTGATTATAGCATCATTTTCGGTATAATTTAATTCTTTAATAAGCATATGTACATTATGTATATTTGGACCATAGATAATATTATGGGACATAAGTAGACAAATAAGGACTTAAGATTTATTAAACCCCATAGGTARAGATAAATCAATAAGTGATGGTTTTGGATATTCCTATTGATAGGGAATCGTTGATTTAGCGTGGTAATCGGATCATATTGCTTTTTCTTTGCGGAGCTCTAAATCAAAGGTGAGTTTCACGGCCCTTTTTACTAATTTCTTGTTTTGGGGTGAAAAGCATGATT